TTTTGAGGTGGAGTTTTGCTCTTATTGCCTAGGCTGGAGTGCAATGGCGTGATCTCAGCTCACTACAACCTCTGCCTCCCAGGTCAAGCAATTCTCCTGCCTCAGCCTCCCAAGTAGGATTACCGGTATGTGCCACCATGCCCAGCTAATTTTGCATTTTTAATAGAGATGGTGTTTCACCATGTTGGTCAGGCTGGTCTCGAACCCCTGACCTCAGGTGATCAACCCACCTCGGCCTCCCAAAGTGCTGGGATTGTAGGCATGAGTCACTGTCCCCTGCCTACAGATCTCTTAAGGAACTAAAAACTGCAAACACTTTTCTAACTCAGGTAGATGCTACTGTGCTCATTTTGCAATTAAGACACTGAAGTCAAATAACTTGCCCCAGGTTCCCCTGCCAATAATAAGTTAACTCCAAAGACTATGCTGTGAAACACTACATTTTGCCTTAAAAGTTGGGGTTTGCCAGGGCTCTAGGCCTCTTCTACAGAATATTCTCCCTCTGGGCTTTTCCCTCCGCTTCAGGACTTGTCTGCCCAACCCAGGCCTTTCTCTTGAGCTCCAGGCCCACTTAACTGTCAATTAGTAGGAAACTACACTTGAATATCCCACTGGAACCTCAATACCATACTTGTCCAAAAGGGAATTCACTGTGGCCCCTGAATCTCTTCCCATATTTGCAGTGCTAAACAGCCAATAATACCTCCATTCACCCAAAAATCCAAACCGCCCGGAAGCTCCTCTCTTTTTCCATCTTCCACATTCAATTGATACATCCCTTTCCTGCCTCTTCAATCTACTCCAGGCACTTTGTCAATTTTTTCACATTGCTACCTATGAGATCTTTTTCAAATGCAACTGTTATGACAGTGCCGTTGTGAAGAACCCACCAGGAAGCCCTTGGTCATAATAAAGGCTCCTTAGCATGGCAGGTGGGGCTCTTCATGATCTGACTCCCATTTATCTTTCCAGATTCATCTCCCTCTGCCTACCCAGCTACTATGATTCACAGGTTCAGCCCACAAGACTCATTATGTAATGCAATAAAGGACGACCAAGGTTATCCCCACATGTTTCTAAAACAAGTGTGTTAAAGAAATACAAACATGCATACATATATACAAAAACATTTACGTATTATCACAAGAAGCACCTAGAAAATTTTAGCAAGAATTTCTATTCAATTCTAATATACTCCATTGTATTAATTTATTAGTCATTATTTAAAGTCAATATATTAAAACATAAAGCCTACAGAAATTAAGAGCACTTTATCAGAGTAGAGCTAAGAAATCAAAGTACTTTTACAAAACAGCCCTACACGCACAACAGTATACTTTTGTTGTTGTTGTTTTTTTAGATGGAGTTTAGCTCTTGTTGCCCAGGATGGAGTGCAATGGCACGATCTCGGCTCACTGCAACCTCTGCCTCCTGGGTTCAAGTGATTCTCCTGTTTCAGCCTCCTGAGTAGCGGAGATTATAGGCGCCTGCCACCATGCCCGGCTAATTTTTGTATTTTTAGTAGAGATGGAGTTTCATCATGTTGGCCAGACTGGTCTCGAACTCCTGACCTCAAGTGCCAGGCTGGTCTTGAACTCCTGACCTCAAGTGATCCGCCTGCCTCAGCCTCCCAAAGAGCTGGGATTACAGGTGTGAGCCACTGCACCTGCCTATTTTTAATAATTTCTTAACTGACTGGATTTTACTGGCAAAGAGTTGTTGCTATTTTTGTTCTTTGGAAATTTTCATTGCAGATGTCATATTCCTTTAATTATTTCATGTCTGAGGATGTCTCCTTTTATCTTTATATTTGAAAGACATTTTTGTCTGGACCTAATATTGTTAGGTCACATTTTCATTTTCTCAGAATTTAAAAAATATTACTCCATTATGTTCCTGAATTAAATGTTTTGGAGAAGTCTGAGGCAAGCCAGATTTTTTTTTTAACCACTCTTAAATGTGACTTGTTTTATCTGCCTAAATACCTAAAAAATTATTATTGAAGTTCAATAACTTAACTAGGCTATCTTAATGTTGAGTAATTTTTGTGTGAAGTGATGTTTATCAAAATTTTCAAATCATATATATTCTTTCATGCTGCATGTTCACTTCTTCCTTCATTTTAGGGAAAGTCTCTTTGAATACATCTTCTGGCATTCCATTCCTTGTACTCTCTTTTCAAGGACTGCAGCTCTCCCTATGCTGAATTATTTTATCTGTCCTTCATATTTATTAGCATCTGTTGTTTTTTTTTGAGACGGAGTTTCGCTCTTGTTACCCAGGCTGGAGTGCAATGGCGCGATCTCGGCTCACCGCAACCTCCGCCTCCTGGGTTCAGGCAATTCTCCTGCCTCAGCCTCCTGAGTAGTTGGGATTACAGGCACATGCCACCATGCCCAGCTGAATTTTTGTATTTTTAGTAGAGACGGGGTTTCACCATGCTGACCAGGATGGTCTCGATCTCTTGACCTCGTGATCCACCCGCCTCGGCCTCCCAAAGTGCTGGGATTACAGGCGTGAGCCACCGCGCCCGGCCTATTAGCATCTGTTTAACTTCTTAAGGCTTTGTCATTTTCCTCTACTTTTTTTTTTTTTTTTAACTGATAAAAGGTATTTATTAAGGATTACTTTTTGGACACTTTACATGACTGTTGTCAACATGTTTTCTACCATCTAGTGAGAAAACAGCAATTTTTCCTACAAAATTATTATTTATTATGCAATTAATACAAATTAAAAAGCTAGGGGGAAGAAAACGTTTCTTGTACTTTTTGAGTATCTTCTGTAAGATATATGACAAAGATTCTGTTTTATATTCTAGTGAGATTTTCGTCCATGGAGATTTGAAGTGGGATATTTTCCAAGTGATGATATCAAGATCAACCACACCAGATCTAATAAAAACAGGAATGAAGCTCCAGGAATTTTTCACACAACAATTTGATACCAGCAAACGAGCGCTGTCTACTTGGGGACCAGTTCCTTTTCTTCCACCAAAGACAACGACTAGCAACCTGTAGTTCCCACCTGCTTGGGAGGCTGTGAGGTGGGATGATCACTTGAACCTGGGAGATCAAGACTATAGTGAGCCGTGAGCCATAGTCACACCACCGCACTCCAGCCTGGGTGACAGAATGAGATCTTTTTGTGTCCTTGTTTTTGATTAACACTAACAGCCTTCCTGTTTTTCTCCTTTCCTCTCATCTGCTTTGTTAATCCTATTGTAACTGTCTGAATCCTGGCTTCTCCAGAGGGGGAAAGTGGCCAGATGGACCCAGTCCTTGTGTTCCGAGAACAGAGTCGATGTCACCCGTGCCTCGAATGCGTGCAACCTTCAGTGTCTCTTCCCTAGGCGATGCAAGACGCGGAGTGCAGCGGCACTACCATTTTCCTCTACTTTTTTTTTTTGTGATTATCTCAAGACAGAAGTAGGCCTACACAAACATGTCCTACTAATTTTTGGCAAAGGTGCAGAAGTAATTCAATAGATGAAGAATAGCCTTTCAGCAAATACTGCTGGAACAATTAGATGTTCATATCCACCGTTCCCTGCTCCCCAAACCCCATGAACCCACACCTCACACTTTATACAAAAATTAACTCAAAATGAATCATGGATGCAAATATATGACCTAAAACTATAAAACTTTTAGAAAACCACATACAGTAAAATCTTTGGGATATAGGGATAGACAAGGAGTTTTCAGATCTAGTATCAAAAGTATAATCCATAAAACAAGATTAAAAGCTTTTGCCCTACAAAAGATGCTGTTAAGAGGATGAAAAGACAAGCTACAGACTGGGAGAAAATATTTATAAACCGGGCCGGGCGCGGTAGCTCATGCCTGTAATCCCAGCACTTTGGGAGGCTGAGGTGGGTGGATCACAAGGTCAAGAGATCAAGACCATCCTGGTCAACATGGTGAAACCCCGTCTCTACTGAAAATACAAAAAATCAGCTGGGCATGGTGGCATGTGCCTGTAATCCCACCTACTCAGGAGG